ACTGCAGCTTGCCAAAATAAAGTTTGAATAAGTTTGTAGTTATGTTCCCACCAAAAATTTGAAAGCTTGACAATATATTCAACCAAAGCTAGCTTTTAATAGATCTTTTAAAATCAGTAATCCCTAAAATGTTTGACAGGTAAGTGAGCAATTATAGTATCTTTATAAAACATACAATGAAATAAAATGGTCTTCTTTTAATTGTATCTTGTAGAAATATAAAGATACTTTCTAAGTCTATAGGCAAATAAACACTTGGTTTTACTTCTAGACCTTTTTAAGAAGTATATTTATCTCCAGCTTATTAAAAACACAGGCAGTAAAATATCATACCCACATTTAAGATTACATGAGTTTGCAAGCATGATATTTTAATGTATTAATTTCATCAAGATTTTATATTTAAAAATGACACATTTTATCTTAAAACTGAAAAAATCTAATGCTTTAGAAAACATTAAAGAAAATTTAAGATCTTGTGATTAAGTGCCATTTTCCTAATGATTTTTAAAATACGAGGGAAAGGATTATTGGTGTGAAGTTACAATATATATCAATATTATTTTAAAGAAAGAATATCCAATCCTCACACTTCCCAAAACAAATAATTAATTAAGCTATAAATTTTGGTTAAATAACATCAAGTTAATATATTACAACATGAGGGCCCAGAAGTGATCCCTTATTTAACAACAATGGTATCTCCCTTTTCAAAGTTAAGAGAAAATAAAAGGGAAAGGAAAAACACCCAGAAAAAAAACAGTGAACTAAACAAGTCCTTTTAAGTGCTCTCTATTAAATAAGTTTTGCTTAAAAGAATAGAAAGGCATTTTAGAGAAAATGCAATGTTAAAAACAAGTACATATCCTTTTCTTAGTTCATAGCAATAAAATATTTAATGTCACACCTCATATTAAATTGCAGTTACTTCATTTATAATAAAATCTACTTTTTCTTCTCTCTCTTGAGGAGTTTAAGACATCCTGACAACTCTTTATTATAACAATTATTGGCTGGGCAAATATAGGATTCAAAATAGAAAAAGCTATGAACAGTGACAATGGTTATATTGATTAGATCACATGAAACAATTTTACATTAAAAAAGGAACAAGCTGCCTAAACCGGTTTGGCTCAGTGATAGAGTGTTGGTCTGTGGACTGAAGGGTCCCAGGTTCAATTCAGGTCAAGGGCATGTACCTTTGTTGCAGGCACATCCCCAGTAGGGGGAGTGCAGGAGGCAACTGATGGATGTTTCTAACTCTCTATCCCTCTCCCTTCCTCTCTGTAAAAAAATCAACAACAGTATTATATATATATATATATATACTTAAAAAAAAAAAGGAACAAGTTACAGCTTTTAGTTGCTAAAATATCATAACCAGGATTATTTTATTGAGTCCAAACTCAATGAACATCTCCCACAGTCTAGACTCTAGATTGATATAGTGGAGCAAAGGAAATAAGCCCACTAGTATTTATTTTTTGACATCAGTGTTGAAAATGGCAGCTACATCACACTTCTTTGGAATACTCTTCCTGGATTATTATTTACCCCTAATTCCTATCTGTCATTCACCTGACAGTCAAAATGTAATAATTCCTAAACAGCAAAGAAGTTAGCCCAGTCAAGCTTGAAGTCACCTTTCCTTCAAGTATCTTTTTGAAAAATGAGGCTGGGGAATAGTTCCTACAGACTCAATAATACGGCTCTCAAATGGACTACATTTTATATGCTAGGATAAAATAAATTCTGCTAGAATCTGTTACCTACTATTACCTCTCTTTGGATGTTCTGGAAAAGAAAAATGGAATATTTACATATAGTATCACAAAAAAACAACAAATTTCCTGAAAGGGTAGGGTTGAGAACTAGATTAGAAAATCTCAGAACCTGAAAAATTTATGTGTAGCCCAGTTGGGAAATGTCTATCAGTAAAACAATAAAATTCAGTTGACAGAACAAAAATATTTAGTATCATTAAATCATGTTTAAAAGATGCATATATAAGGAATTCTCAAATGTATGAAACATTTTGCTTTTGGAGTAAGCAATGGAAGTTTGAGAATATTACTTAATTAGCCTATATGAGCATATTTCTTCATTAGTATTTTAAGTATATTTTGCATCTATGCTTAAAACAATGATGTCACAGTGGCAACCGTAAAATATTGCTGTACCGTATGGCAATAACAATACAGTATTTACTTGTTACCAAGTAATTACTGAATATATTTAGGCAACAATACAATGTCACAGTATAGTTTCATGATCCTGATAAAGCATCCTACTATCATTACATTTTGTCACAATATGGTCATATTACGCTTGTCAGAATCCCAGTCAAATAACATGTGAGAAACAACATAATCTGAATTGCTTATACCTATGTATATACACATTAGCAGCCAAATGTTTCACTTTCAAATAATGTTTTAATGAAAAACAAATGTAATGGGTTTGCTCCACAGAGGCATACAAATAGAACATGAAAATACAAAATATACTTCTGCACATATTATTATTCCAAATGTAGTAATTCCTATAACAACTTCTTCTGTTCCTTTGTACATTGAGAATTAACTATACACACATAAAAAATATTTCAAAATATCTAAAAACCGATACTCATTTCAATCATCTTAAGGAACACTACTTTTTAGCATAAGCTTGTTACAGTCAAATACTAGAGTCCCCATCCTCAAGCATATCTGGAAAATTTTGAAATTAGAGTTCAAGGTTATATCATTGTAGAAACACATGAGGAAGTTGCCTTGAGTTACCTTCTTGGTGGGGTGCTTCCAGGGACTAGAGTTAAATCACTAGTCTCAGGTTCAATAAATGGTTAAATCCACTTGAAAAGAGTTCTCAAAAATTTGAAATGCATTTGCAGAGCACTAAATCTGGAGCCTAAAGATCAGCCCAGGCTGCAATGGTTTCCTGGCTCTGTTCATGTAACTTCATTTCTAAGTCTGTTTTTTGAGCTTCATCTTACATGTTTCAGAAGTTCTTGTCCAGGTTCTTTGCTGGGTTTTTTTGTTTGTTTGTTTTGTTTTCTTACACATTATTTTTTCAATCAATAACTTGTTGAGAATCTACCAAGTGACAGAACTGGGCGAGGCACATTTTGTTCCTCTAATGAGCAACTCAAGATACAACATCAGAAATGTGACCTTTTTGTTTGGAGTTTCAGGATCGAGTAAAAATTATATATCCCAATTGAATTAATAATATAATCACTTATAACATATATTTATATATATAAAAACACACTTGGTGAGATCCTATATTTAAACTTAAAATTTGAAAACAGCTTCCAAGTTTTAAGTTCAACTATAGGATCACACCCAAGTAAGGTTGCCAGGGTTAAAAAAAAAAAAAAAAGGTGAGATATAAAAACTTGCTCACTAGATATTCTGAATCATTTTTGTTTAAGTACCATGCAATTTAGGAAGGCAACAGACTTGAAACAAATTAAGTAAAAATACTTAGACTTATGTAGAAATAACCAAGACCCAGTTTAGGATATGAAATAACAGAGGCAAAAAACCATATCCTTTCTCACAGGTTGCTTAACTTGACACTTTCCTTTTACATTAAACCTTGCAGGATGGGGCTAGGAACTAAGGATGAGGGGATTACAACAGAGAAAAATGTCAAGTGCAGTACAAGGACAAGCAATGGCATTTCTAGAATTTTATGAAACTGTACAAGATTTAACTGGCCACACATCACATCCTATTAAAAAGTCATGACATACAAACATAAATCTTCTTTTAATGAAGCAGCATTCATTTAGGAATTAACTAATTTACAACCTTTCTTAACACAGCAGTTCTGTCCTACCAATGTAATCGGGTCAATCCTTTCAGTGTCAGGGTTACAAAACAAACATATTCAGGGCAGGCTTGTCATGAACGGTTCCAGAGATTATTAAGGAACGCCTTAAGAACTGCCCTTCTTTTACTCGTTCAAATGAGTTAATAGAGAGAAAAAAATCTAACAAAAATATAATACGTGTATTTAACGCAGCAGATACGGGCATGACTTGTCAGTTTCAAGGACAGGCTGTGTAGGGAACTACTTGGCATCTACATAAACCTTTAATCCATTCTTTTAAAGCCATCGTGGTTTGTTTAAAGATTGAGAACCGGGAGATGAGCAGCCTGGCGGTGAAAGACGGGAGGTTAAATTTTTTTTTTTTTTTTTAAAGTATTTTTCTAATGCAGCCTCTCTCTCACTACGATGCTAACTTTGGCAGGCTAACCCAAACCATGAACTAATCTGAGGATGGCGTTAGGATAAACTCAAGAGACCTGGAGGGGATCCTAGAGAGGACGGCCAACCTGTCTCCAAACATGAGAAATCTCCCTTCACCAAGGAAACAGCACGGAGGGATCCGATCGCAATCGAGCACAAGGCTGGGGGGCAGGAGCCCGAGTAAAAAGTGGAGAGCATGAGGGCAGGTCTAGGTAACAGCATTTAGGGGTCTCCCTGCAACCACTGCTCCCTCCATCTCTATCAGACCAGTCTCTCTCTCCACAGAGACGTGGGGTCAGGAGAGTCCCCCCCCAACAAGTCCCCTCCCTTGTGTTCCCTCGGTCGAGCCTAAGATCTCCGTTCTGAACCGACCTAAGAGCTGGTCCAGGGCTGGGAGCCCGGTTGATACCAGCAGCTGCCCGTTCCGCACCGACGGTCGTGTGCCTGCGATGGACACCAGTCGGGAGCCGCCGCTCTCGGCGCCGCTGGCTCTAGGACTCCTTCTCTGGAAGCTGGTGACGCTGTGTTTGCTGGCCGCCGCCGCCGCCGCCGCCGCCGCCGCCGCGGACCCGGGACTCCAGGCGCCGTGGCCGCTGCTCCCCACTGCCGCCATCTTGGCGCTTCCCGCGTAGACCCAATAGGAACTCTGGGAACGCGAGTAACGGGCCTGTCAGAGACAGCCCCAAACTCCCGCCTCCTGGAGGCTCTCGTAGCCAATAGAAGCGGGAGTTCCGCCTCAAGTCAACCAATAGCAAGGCGTTTTGCTGAAAAGTGCTCTGTACGTGAGGACGGCGGACGTCTGCGGGACCCAGGTGAGACAGGCCCACCTGAGTCCTGGGTGAGAGAGTCTGGCGGGGCTCTTTGGGGCTTAGAGGTGGGTAATCTACAACTTTTGCTCTCCTGTTGAATGTCTTCGTTCACGTTTAATTACAGAAACGATTGGTGGAGCGATATAGCAAACAACTGCCAGTGGGACTTTTCACAAAGAGGAAAGATAACATTTCCCCGCCCCTTCCTCTTCGGATATCCGATTGAAAATTCTTTGTCTTCACCTGAAGTCATTATTATTATTATTAATTATTTTTTAAATGGTTGAGAATCGGAACTCACCTTAATGAATTGCTTGCTGAGCATCTGAGCTCAGTGTGTCAGGGACAGGTGGGTTGGATTTAGACCTTGGAGGGAAAACTCTTGAGCTTTGAACCGATTTGGTTTCCCTCTGATTCAAAGAGCAAATGACAGCATGTGCTTCTCTTGCCCCCGTGACAAGCTTTCGTTAATTTTAATGAGTGCTTCTGAAAGTCTTGGAGACCCTTCCCATAGGTGGTATGAATGACAAGTGTTACTCTGACAACCTTGTTCACACATTTAATTGTCGTTTGCTGTTAAGGCACCTTCAAATAACAAAATACTTGAGGTATTCTTCCAAAAAAATGATAAAAATGAAATGTGTATGTACTTTATTTTTCTAGTGATTTGTGAAGTGGAAATGAGAGCTTTCTTATTAGAATAGGAATTTTGTGCATGGGGAAAATATAACTTAGAGCTGCATCTTTCCATTTAATTTTTTTCTTAAAACTGTGTGTGTGTGTGTGTGAGTGTGTGGTGGGTAAGTGATTTTTAAAAGCCTTCATGATTGACAAGTTTAAACTATAAAAGACTTCCCAAATCATGCCTGTACTACAAAGTTATGACTGGTTTTGACAGTGATGTATGCTACTTTTAAAATACAACCAAACCGCATTGCAGTTCTTGCCATTGAATTGTTTTAAATCTCAGTGACCCATTAAAACTCTTTGGCAGGTTCTGTTTGTTGCTCTTAAATACTGATTTTTTTACATGTTATTTTTACTCCCTATTCTCTTGTCTCCTACTCTATTTACCCTTTGATTTTCTAAGGGTAATAGTGTGATGCTTTATTTGCCTTATTACTAGAACATGGCTGAGAAAAGCCTTCAACTAATGTAATTTTGATTTTCTGCTTTAGAAATCCTGAAACCATGTGTCACCCACATACGCTTTGAGGTGCGTTAGATGCTTTTTTCCCCGCTGGAAGCTCTGCAACAACTTTAAACTTTGAATGTATTGTAGAACAGACCTATGGTAAGTGGCCTCTTTTCCTCATTATTCTTGTCTGGTTCGTGTTTAAGTTAAGTTTTATGAATGTCCTAATGCTGCTACCTGCTGGACACTAATTTTAAAAAATATATATATATTTTATTGATTTCTTACAGAGAGGAAGGGAGAGAGATAGAGAGCTAGAAACGTCGATGAGAGAGAAACATAGACTAGCTGCCTCTTGCACACCCCCTACTGGGGATATGCCTGCAGCCAATGTACATGCCCTTGACCGGAATCAAACCTGGGACCTTTCAGTCCGAAGACCGATGCTCTACCACTGAGCCAAACCGGCTTCGTCTGGACACTAATTTTTTAAAGTTGGCACTTAATAGATGGACAAGGAACTGGATAGTTGGAGGAGAATCCTTGGCTGCATTCACACACACACACAAAATAGTATACGACAAAAGCAACTCTGTCATAACGAGTAATACCATTGTCATTGTGTTGATATCTGGAATATGATGAAAATGCTGATAGACTTGCTTCTGATTTTCATTGTCTGTTTCCTGTTTAACGACATCTAAAAATTATAACCAGCATACATTGCTTGTAGATGATGGACCTCTGAGGGTATCTAAAATTGTATATGAGTCAATATATATGTTTGTAATTTAATTCTTGTTGTTGCTATCTTTTTGTAATAAACTAAATTCTTTGTATTGTTGGTTTTCCAACAGCTTCAGTATAATTTAAATTAGGAATTATAGGGTCTATTTTAAGTGAGTCGCCCTATGTTACATTTCATACAGTAGGCTGTAAGAATAACTTGTTTTGTATATCTATCCCATAATCCAGCTTTCATGTTTTCTAGTACACACAGTGAATGATTCTTACACAGAATGACATTGTGTTGGACCTCAAGTGTCATGTCTGTCCACTTTTTTTTTTTTAAATATATTTTATTGATTTTTTTACAGAGAGGAAAGGAGAGGGATAGAGAGCTAGAAACATCGATGAGAGAGAAACACCGAACAGCTGCCTCCTGCACACCCCCTATCGGGGATGTGCCCACAACCAATGTACATGCCCTTGATGGGAATCAAACCCGGGACCCTCAGTCCGCAGGCCAACGCGCTCTCCACTGAGCCAGACTGGTTTCGGCATGTCTGTCCACTTTATCATGAACCTCAACATTGCATGCATACATAGATGCTCCCAAAATTGTTTTCAAATTGTGAGAGTAAAAAGTGTTTTTCTTCCTATTTTTGAGCTAGAATCTTATATATTTTGGAGTGCAGCCTGAATAAAATTATTGCCAGGATGTAATGTAGATTTTTTTGAAGTAATCATACATCCCCTTAAAAAGAAGGAAATGACAGAAACAACATTGAGCTAAGCAAAGATTTAACAGGATAACTGATCTTATACTCTTTAAAAGCCTGGTCCTTTTTTAATAGCCATTGGGAAAACTTGTGAAATCTACTCTTAATTGGGATTATGGAGAACTATGTATACTGTACTAACTTGTTTCTTATTAAAATATTGCAATAAAAATTTGAAATATAGACCAAGAAAATAAAATTGTGCTTCAGAAAAACAATCATTTAAAAGTGAAATGCATTTGACTGCTCACCCAATTATAAACTACTAGAGGCCCGGTGCATGAAAATTCATGCGCTGGAGTGTGGGGTCCCTCAGCCCCTCCTGCCCCCTCTCACAGTCCGAGCGCCCTTAGGGGTGAGAGCCAACCTGACAATCAGGGGAAGGCGATACCCCATCACACCTCTGCTGCTGCCACTGCCAGCAGCACAAGCCTTGGCTGGCTCTGATTACCTGTGCCTTGGACAGCCCCAGTAGACTGGGCAGCCGCCTTCCAAGGCTTGCCTGTGCTTCAGGCTGGCCCTGGTGGCTAGGGGGCTAAGAGGAATGGGGGACTCCAGAGGCAGGTGCCCCAGTGGGGCTGAGGGGATTGGGCGCCACCATCTTTGAGCGCATGGCAGTTAGTTAACATATTCCCTTCTTATTGGTTGTGGGCGCTGCAATCTTTGAGGACAGGGCAGCCAGTTAGCATATTCCCTCCTTATTGGCTGTGGGCACCACCATCTTTGTGATGGTATGAGGGTCATTTAGCATATTCCCTCTCTATTAAATAGGATTGAATGTGAATTTAAAAAAAAACCAGGGTAAAGAGTGTTTGCTAGATGACAGAAGATTTGGGGAAGATGGACAATTACTATCCCAGGACAATAGATATCACTATGATGATTTCCTATACCAGTGAGGTGTTTTTAAATTTGACAGTTCATTTCTTCTCAAACTTATTAACTCAAAAAATTTTACATTTGCATTTAGGGAAAAATAAAGGTCTTAATGTAAGTTTTTGCAATGAGAACATATTTCAGAATTTGCCTTATGAACAAAATATCTGAGAGGCCCAAAGCGAGGCATAGCTTTTTCTAGGATACATTTGAGATCAGTATGTGGTGGAAGCTCAAAGTGATAAAACCCCAAAACCAATTGTGAGAGTTTATTGCATATATGCATGTGTATTTATAACATATGTATATGAGTTTTTATTATATATGTGTGTGTGTGTGTGTGTGTGTATATATACATATACATATATATATATATATATATATATATATATACATATATATATATTTTTTTTTAGTAGCAAACTATTGGAAACACCCTTAATGTCTACCCATATGGTACTTGTTAAATGATCTGTAGCCTATCTATACAACTTTAAAAAAAGGATGTTCGCTATGTGCAGATTTGGAAGTTTTCAAACATACATTGTTATTTGAAAAGAGCAGAATTCAAACAATGTATTATAAACTACTTTTTGTGTTAAGGGAGGGGAATCAAAATATAAATATATCTAGATTTATACAATAGATTTATACAATATATACAATAGATTTTTGTATACCCAGATTTTCTTTATGCAAATATAAGCATAAAGAAAATATATGCATAAAGAAAATCTGGAAGGATATACAAAATCTATTGAGTTCAAAATTTGATTATTTAAATGAATTGTCTCAGAATTCTTAGTGTTTTCCCATTTTCTTATGACAAGGATTTTGACTGCATTTGTGTATCTGTGTGTAAAACTGCCTTTTAAAAAAAAGCTCTATATACAGAAAAGTACACATATTATAAGTAGACAGCTCAATGAATTTTTCAGAAGCCAAATAAACCTATGAAATCAGCACTTAGATAAAGAAAAAGAACATTATCAGCACCCTAGAAGACACTGGCATGTTTCCTTCCAGTCACTATTTACCTTCCTGCATGAGAATAACCCCTACCCTGACTTTTAGTAGCATCATTAGTTTTACTTGCATTTAGTCTATCTAATAAAATAGTAAGATGCAAATTAATACCCACTCTGCCACGCCCACCGGCCAATCAAGAGCGAGTATGCAAATTAAATCAACCAAGATGTCTGTGGTCACAGAGTGAGCAAGAGGCTTGGGTTTCCCCAGCAATGGAGGAAGCCATGCTTTCCACATCCTCTGGCCAGCCCAGGCTTCCACTCAAGGCTACAAAGTTTCAATTTTAGAAGATAAATAAATCTGAACAAAAATGGCTGTGGCCACAGAGCAAGCAGGAGGCTTGGCTCCTCTCAAGGCTACAAAGTTTCAATTATAGAAGATAAATAAATCCAGGGCCTCCACTTGGGTCACTGGGGGCGTGGCTGGCCTGCAAACTACCACAGGCCCCTCACCCAGGCCGTCCCATGCCCCAGGGGAACCCCCATCCTGATCCAGGACACCCTTCAGGGCAAACCAGCTGGCCCCCACATGTGCACCAGGCCACTATCCTATCTAATAAAAGAGTAATATGCAAATCGACCATCACTCCAATACACAAGATGGCTACCCCCATGAGGTCAAAGATGGCTGTCCCCATGTAGACACAAGATGGCCACCATAAGATGGCCAGCAGGGGATGACATTTGGGAGGGATCAGGCCTGCAGGGGAGGGCAATTGTGGCGATCAGGCCAATAGGGCAGGGCAGTTGGAAGAGGCGAGACCTGCAAAGGAGGACAGTTGGGGGTGATCAAGCCTGCAGAAGAGGGCAGTTAGGGGTGACTAGGCTGGTAGAGGAGGGAAGTTGGGGGCGATTAGGCCTGCAGGGAAGGGCTGTTGGGGGAGGGGGGACCCAGGCATGCAGGGGAGGACAGTTGGGGAGGACCAGGCCTACATGGGAGGACAGTTAGGCGCAACCAGGCTGGCAGGGGAACAGTTAGGCATCAATCAGGCTGGCAGGGAAGTGGTTAGGGTGATCAGGCTGGCAGGCAGAAGTGATTAGGGGCAATCAGGAAGGCAGGCAGGGGAGCAGTTGGGAGCCAGCAGTCCTGGATTGTGAGAGGGATGTCCCAGATTGGAGAGGGTGCAGGCTGGGCTGAGGGACACCTACCCTCGTGCACAAATTTCATGCACCAGGCCTCTAGTATTTTATGTAGAATTATACAGTCTATTTTATGTGTGAATTCCTTTGCTCAACTTTATGTCTTGAGATTTGTCCATATGGTTGCATGTAGTCGTATTTTGTTCATTTTCATCGTTGCATGTCATCATAACTGTATCACAACTTCTTTATTCATTCTGTGAATGAACATTTCGGAAGTTTCCATATAACACTGCTATAAACATTGTAATACATATCTCTTCACTAATATATTTACATGTTTCTTTTGATGGTATATCTAGGAGCAAAATTATTGGATCATAAGAATATATGTCCAACTTTAATCAGTATTGCCAAACAGTTTTCTAAAATGGTACTACTTTATATTTATATAAAATCTCTAGTTGCTCCACATCTTTGCAAACACTTGATTCTTTTACCCATCTCTTTATATTTTTCAGATTCTGATGTGTATAAATAGTAAATCATTATCATTTTACTCTTTAGTTCCCTGATGATTAATGAAATTGAGCACCTTTTCATATGATGTATATTGCCTATTTCATTATTCTCTTTTGTGAAGTACTTGTTCATTTCTCTTGCCCATGTTCCT